ACATATGGGAAGGCAATGGAAGATGGCTCAAGTTCTTGGGCCCCTGCCACCCATGTGGGAGACCAGGCATGGAGTTCCTGGCTCCTGGCTTCAGCCTGGCCAGGAGGGGAATGAACCAGCCTGGCCATTTGGAGAATGAACCAGTGGATAGAAAATTTTCTCTCTCCCTCTCCCCCTCCCTCCCTCTCTTCCTCACCCCTCCCTCTCTCTCATCACTCTGCCTTTCAAATAAATACATACATACATAAATAAAATCATTTTTAAAAAAAGCAGTACTATGTTAAGATCCCTTCTGCTGAAATTCTTGGATGATGGCTATCTTCCTCCCTTAGCTGTGTCTTGAGGGAGGATTAGAGTAGGGGAGGTGGAATGTGTTTTGGGTACCATGTGTAGTGGAAAGGGGAAAACCATCTGTTTCGGGCCACACAGGGTTTGGATCTTGGCTTCTCCAGTTCCTGGCACTGTGACCTAGGACAAGTTACTTAACTTTCCTGAACCTGTTTCCTCAGCTCTAAAGTGAGGGTAATATTTTCTTTTGTAAGTTGTGAAAAGGATAGAGTGGAGTAACATATAAGTTGTGGGAAGGATAAAACAGAATAACACTTGAACCTGGCTAAATGCAGGTAACTTACCAAGTGTCATTTTCCTTTTCCTTTCAATTGATAAACACTTTCCTTAAAGGCTATATATGTAAACATCAAATATTTATATGTCGCATGATTCAAGGAAAGTGAAACTTCAAAAGGAATTATTTTGGATAAAACAAGTAATCATGCTTAGTTGTCTTTTTTGCAAATCTAATTTTGTGGGCTGCACTGGGTTTGTTTATAATGTTTATGTGCAATTCTCAGCACGGTGAGGCTTGACGGAACTTAAATTCTCTTTGCAGCTTCATGGAAGTTGTAAATGTCAGATATTAATGATGTGATTGGAGGCAACCTAAGCTGGAGCTGTCCCTGAGGTATTATTTGCAAGAAGGCCCATCACAGTTGTATAGATAATGAAGATATAAACACAGGTTCAGGCTTTGTGGTTTGGGCTGATGGCGCATGACACGGTGTAAATGCGTATTTTATCAGAGGAAGGGACTCACCATCTGCCTACCTTGTAAAGCAGAGCAGAACGTAGCCTTGGATGAGTAAGTGCTCACTGTTAATTAGGCCAGCTCAGTCCATTGGCAGAGATAGTCTGTACACATCCCATGCTATCAGACTTTAAATTTGGGTGTGCCAGGGTTTATGTTGGGAACATTGGCTGGCTACAATCTTGTATAGTATTTCATGTTCTTAGAGGCAAGAAAAAAAATGGACTAAAGACTTTAGTAAAAGAGATTTTTTTCCCCCCAGTCATCTGGTCAACTGTCTATAGGTCTGCCAAATCTAGCCTGCAGCTTGTTTTAGTACATTCTCTGAGTGAAGAATGACTTTTGCATATTTAAATGGCTGCTTAAAAAAGAAAAGAAAAATATGCAACAGGGACTATATGTATCTCACTGAGCCTTAAATAGTTACTAACTGGCTGTTTATGGAAAAGGTTGCTGATCTCTGGTCTAGAGTGTTGGAAATATCTGAGAATAATGAAGGTAAAATATATCAGTGATTCACTTTCCAATTCTAATCTTTGTGATAACCACTAAACGCTGTGTTAACAAAGTTTGATGGACCTTATTTAGGATAAGTAGAACCACATTTCAATATTTATTTGTGTCTTGCTCTCTCTACATAGTATTAGTCCAACTCTGTCCAGGGAACGGAGTCCCTATTTGTTGCTCTAGAGTCGGCTCCCATATCCATCACCTCCTCTCTGAATCCTCCACCTGTCACCTTCTCGCCACAGCTCACCTGTGTGAGCAGCATGTACCTGAGCTGCTCTGACAGCACTTCTACCTTCTGCCCTAGCCTGAAAGAGGATAGCAAGGGCCAACTCAGGAGTGCTGAGGAGTTTTGTACCTCATTCTGCTCATGAGAAAGCTAGGGAAGACTTTTAGCAGTCTGTGTCCTTGATGCAGAAGGATGAGCCCAGGGAAGGGGCCCTTTGAGGATGCAGTGCATAGACTGAGGCTTTTAGAAGAAGTGGGGGTTGAGGGCTAGTGCTATAGCACAGCAGGTAAAGACCGCCTGCAGTGCAGGCATCCCATATGGACGCCGATTCGAGTCCTGGCTGCTCCACATCCCATCCAGCTTCCTGCTAATGTATCTGGGAGAGCAGTGAAGATGGCACCCATGTGAGAGATCCAGAAGAAGCTCGTGGCTCCTGGCTTCGGATTGGCTCAGTTCCAGCTGTTGTGGCCACTTGGAGAGTGAAACAGCAGATGGAAGATCTCTCTCTCTCTCTCCCCCTCTCTGCTTTTCAGATAAAATAAATAAATATTTAAAAAAGAAGAAGAAGAAATGGGGCTTGAATTAGACTGGGAGGGATGGGCGTAGTTTGCAGGAGGGCATGGGCAAAGACAAGGAGGCATGGAGGATCCTCACTGGAGATATGAGAGGAGACTGGGTCGTCACTGTGTCGAGGTTATTGTGAATATTAAGGTATACAGATTTCTGAATCCAGTTGTCAGTAAGAAGTCCTTGTAGTTTATTTTAAAAAAGAACAGTGTGTCTGGGTGTGCAAGGGTGAGTGAAATGACAGTCATGAAGTTAGCTACTGTAGTCAGGTGCCACAGAATGATGACAGAATGCATGCATGATGTGGTTCTCTAAGATTATATCACCCAGGTGGGCACAGTGGTTAAGTCACCACTTGGGCTGCCTGCATGCCATATCAGAGTCCTGGTTAGAGTCCCGGCTATTCTACTTCTGATTCCGGCTTCCTGTTGATGTGCACTATGGGAGGCAGCAGGTGATGGCCTGAGTACTTGGGTCCCTGCCACCCTTGTGGGAGACCCAGATTTAGTTCAGGGCTCCTGAGTTTGGCCTGGCCAAGCCCTGGCTGTTGCAGGCATTTGGGTCATCAGTGGATGGAAGATCTGAGTGTCTTTCTGCCTTTCAAAGTAAATTGATATCGGAAATGACCCCCCTAAAAACTATATCAAAATGTGTCCCCTTAAAGTTCCCCAGAAGCATCATCTGGGATGCCACGTATGTTACCAGAATTTGGGGTGCCATATGATATCACCATATACTTATCAATAAATCCCCAATATTAATAAGCCCAAGAGGGTTCTTGCCTAATATTTAGAGAATGATTCTAAATACTGGAATAAACGAGGCAGCATGGTACATTTTAAGCTTTTATTCAGTGAGAGAAATCATAGGAGAGTGAGACCTTTATCTAAGAGAGAGAGAGGTAAATAGGGGTTCATAACGAGCACCAGGAACCAGCCACGTGGAGGAGCATATAGGCCAGGAAGCCTAGGGCGGGTGGCCCGAAGGCCACATGCCCTGGAGGTGCAGGGCTAGAACCAGCCCCCTCCTGGCAAGAAGCCAGGGAAGAAGAGAGGCGAACACACCGCGTCCCAGGCTTTTAACCCACTTCCAACGGGGAGCGGTTAGTTAACCTGATTGGCTTGTGGACACCCAGGTGTGGCATGAGGTCACATAGGGGCGTGGTGAAGGCGTGGTCTTGCAGTTCACAAACCTAATCGAGTTTAACCTGTATGCCTGCCTACTTCATAATGAAAATTAAAAAAAAAATTATGTCATACTCTAGTGATATTATAGCCTTTTAGTTTGTATAAGTGTATGTTATGATGTTTGTATGATGACAAAATCACCAATGATGTGTTTTTCAGAACGTATCCCCTTCATCAAGCAGCATATGATCCCTAATTGGGTGCTGGACATTGGGCTAAGGGATCTTGGGCCATCCAATTTAATCCTTACAACAACTTTGTGTGGGGAGGAAAGAGTTATTCCCAGTTTACTAATAAGCTAATGAGCCTTAGGGAGGTTAAAATAACTCACCCAAGGTTCGGAAATTAATAACAGGCAGAGCCTGGATGACTTTGTCGCTGGAGAGATGTCGTGGGGTTCTTGTCTTTGTTGCAAGAATTCACGTGTGAGAGCAGAGTAGCAAGGTTTTATTGGGGACAGGGCATCCATCAGGACAAAGGGACAGAGAGAGAGTGCCCAGTCACTCAGACTGGGGAAAGTGAGGTTACATGGTTAAATGGAGAGCATACACCTGTGGGCTAGGCAGCCCGTTGCCTCAGAGGAGAGCTGAGTGCCCTGATCTTTTGTTTAGACTCCCAGTTTTTAAAGGAGTCTTCCTGCCATCTCTCTTTACCCCCGTACCCTTTTCCTCCAAGGGTTTGCTGAGTGTAAATTGGGACATTCCTCCCAGGTTTGCTACTCCGTATTCTCAGACTGGGTGGAGGGGGCATCCTGGCTCTGGCCAACGGTGCCTGCCTTGGAGGTAGGAATGTAATGTTTTTATTGCTCTGTGTTATCAGGTCAGGTAACCCACTTGGTGCTGAGTAGAGAGTTTTCCCCTGGGGGAAGGGTCGGGACCACCTGGGATGTCATCAGGGTCTGGGCAGGATTTTGAAGTGTAGATACTGGGCTGCTTCCAAAGTGGGCTTCTGCAGGTGCTGGTTTCTTCAGGCCCCTCATACACGTAGGCTAATTTCTAACTTCCTACCTAACAACCTGACCTGAGAGCCCAAACAAGCTTGGTGTAAAACATTCTAACAATGTGGAAAAGAGAAGAGTGAAAAAGCAATCAAAATCCTGCCCTCCAGAAATGATCACTTTGGGTGAACATAGTGCTAGACACCTTTCTGTGTGCAAGTCCAGCAAAGTGTGTGCATTTGGCATAATCTAGGTCATCCTGTGCCTGCAATTTTAGATAAACAACCATATACTCTATATCCTAGTGTTTTCCTCCATGTAAAACTAATTTTCTAATTTTTGTAATAGGTGCATGGTATTTCTCTTCCACTTAACCAGTTCTTTCTAGGTCACTGCCGGTTCTACAGCAGGGGAATAATTGACAGGCAGCTTTTTTTTTTTTTTTTAAACAAACTTTTAAACTGAGTCTTGTTTTCTCTTTCTTTGCAGCATGCTCTTGATGCTGACAATGCAGGAGTCAGTCCAATAGGAAATTCTTCCAACAACAGCAGTCACTGGGACCTTGGAAGTGCCTTCTTCTTTGCTGGAACCGTGATCACCACGATAGGTATCCATTCACTTGCTAATATCCTTTTTTCCAGAGTGATGGCACTGGAGTTTTGTCCTCACAGAATTCAGGAGGCTCTTGAAGTGTTGTCTAGTGAATGCAGTTGGGATGGCTTTCAGTAAAAGCCAAAGCAGGATGAAGAATCTCTGAAAAGTCCAGAGTAGAAAATATGGGTCTCTGTTGAGCCCAAATTCCTGTTGAAAGATTGTGCTTTGTATTAGTTAGGTGTGAAGAAATCAAATGTTTTGGAGTTTGTTATGAAAAACAGCACTTTGCCCTTCTCCCCTTTATTCACTTCCCAGACTTAATCACTTTCGTCTCTTTTGAACTATGATTTTAATATTCTTTCCCATGCCTTTATATAGCATGCTTGTTACTGCTGCTTCTGGGATTTTCCAGTTTTAGAGATTCTTTCTTTGTGGAAGATGAGAAGTTAGTTTCTTTTCTTCCTGCTCTCCCTCTGCAGAGACCCTCTCTTCCTGTCTTCCCAGTTTAGTTTAATTAGACAAAAGTTGAATGGTTGCCTTATTTTGATTAAGTACATGCTCTTTACAACTGATTGTCGAATTATGATGACTTTTGTCCTGTGTGTATGTGCCTTTTCTCTGCTACTTAGGTTTTGTATTTTTGTCTTGGGGTAACTTTATAGTTATCATTGTTCATGACAGTCATAGTGTTCTCTGTTAGATCTCCATGATGACTGATGACATTTCCCTCTTTCCTCACCACACAATTTTGGTCAGTGTCATCTTTTTTAATATTTACTTTTAATTGATTAAATATGCTTATACTTGGTTTAAATGATTTGCCTGCTTTAACTGATGACTGTTGGCTCTCAGCTATTCCATAAAATGCAGTCAATAAAGAATCTGCATCTCAACTTCCTTTCCCTTTTCCCCTACCAATTGTTATTCTTTGTAGCCCTCTAAATATAACACAAAAGTATGTCACCGATACTTGCATTTGCTTCAGTTGTAGCCCTAACATTAAATTTGATCAGTGTTCAGCTCCAGTCCTTTTGCTGTAGTTCTCATCACTTGCTTGGCTGAAAGTCATCTTCAAGTAGTTGCCTTGTTAAGTGGCTCCAGGGAGCAATATTCCTGGAGTTCCTGACTCGTTCAAAATGGTAGTCTTTATCCGCTATGCCACAGCGCCAGCCCCAGAATAGTAGTCTTACACTTCAAGTCACTTATAAAAGGGAAAACAGAATCCAGCTGGAAATGAAATCTGTTTCACTGACTCACTTTTTTCTTTTTCTTTCCTTTTTTTTTTTTTTAATGAGTCTTGTAGGTGTTGTTCCACTATCTTCTGGTGTTTATGCTATTGTGGAAAACTCTTTGCCAACCAATTTTGTTTTCCTTTTTATAAGTGATTTGATCTTTGAGTTTAGTTTCTTTATCTTCCATCTGATTACACTACAAGATCTTATCTTTTTATACCAGGAAAGTTTTCTGAATCATCATCTTTAAACTTTTCCTCTGCTTTTTGATTTTGATTTTGTTTTTTTCCAAGGCAACCTAACTTCTTTGCCTATTATGTCTGTCATTTTCCTTCTACTTCTTTTAACTTTCAAGGTTGAGTTTTCATTTTGTTAAATTTTTTTTTTTTTTTTTTTTGACAGGCAGAGTGGACAGTGAGAGAGAGAGAGACAGAGAGAAAGGTCTTCCTTTGCCGTTGGTTCACCCCTCAATGACGGCGCGGCCAGGCGCGCTGCGGCCGGGCGCACCACGCTGGATGCAGAGCAGAGCAGGTGCTTTTCCCTGGTCTCCCATGGGAGTGCAGGAGCCCAAGCACCTGGGCCATCCTCCACTGCACTCCCTGGCCACAGCAGAGGGCTGGCCTGGAAGAGGGGCAACCGGGACAGAATCCGGTGCCCCGACCGGGACTAGAACCCGGTGTGCCGGCGCCGCTAGGCGGAGGATTAGCCTAGTGAGCCGCGGCGCCGGCCCATTTTGTTAAATTTATCCTCTTCTCTTTTGGATGTGCGTGCCTTTCTGCAATACTTACTCTGCCATGTGCTCCATCCAATATTATTTTTGCTTTTGTGATCATTAAGAGATTTCTTCCTGCTTCCTGAATTTTATAGCTCCTGTCTCATCTCCACTCATTATCTTGCTATTTCTTCTCTGATTTCTTGCATTTCTGCTTTGTGGTTTCTCTGTGAAGATCATCAAAGGGGATTATTTCATAGTCAGTTACAATTTTTGTCTGTTTTGGGCAGCGTTTGTCTCATGAATATGTTTGATCCATTGGTAAGCTTAGATACTCTTTTCACAATTTTTTCTTATGGTCAGCTTCTTTTTAGAATACTTGCTCCCAGACAAAGTGAATATTCCTGAGCTAGCTCTCTGACAAATGTGTTTGTGGAAAGAGGAGAGCAGGTGAGGCGGTGTAACCTTCCAATTAGCACATCCCAAGACTCCTTGTTTGTGCTGCCAAGGAGACAGAGGTTATGTCATTCCCTGCTGGGTCCTGCTTCTTCTGTTTTCTAAAGCATATCAAGTTTAGGGTAGCTTCTGCTGCTGTCTTTTTTCATTCTATAATTTACACTTGGTGTATCAAGGATATCACTTTAAAGTCCTCATTCTCCAAATTTCTCGTTATCTTTTACTGTATGACTTCCATCTAATCTGTTTCTTTTGGTAGTTCTTACACATAGGCTAGAATCTACACATTGTCTTCTTGCTCTGCTGAAAATGAGTGTGAGGATTTCTGCCCTTCCATACCAGAGTGAAATAGCACTGAGTAAAAATTCTCATTCAGGGCAATGGGGAGCACACAGCAATCACCTGTCCATAGCAATGAAGGACAGACATTGAAGGGGCTCCTCTGTCCTCCTTGTAGGGAGCTTCCTTCATTAAAACCTGAGAAGAATTCTCTGCTTTATTATATTCTGAAGTCCAGCTATGCTGCTTGAAATTCTTTCTCTGATGGACAGCTTAGACCAGGGGTGGGGAACCTTTGTGCCAGGGGCCACTTGTATATTTACAACATTCGCAGGACAGACAAAATTCTCAGCTTAAAAATGAGCCTTCTATAGATTTATTGTTTTCAGTCCCATCTGTGGCTGCCTTGGCAGGGCCAGAACATGATTTTGTGGGCCTCATATGGCCTGCGAGTCTGATGTTTTTGCCCCACCCCCAGCTTAGGCAATCGACTTTTTGTAAGCACAAGTGTCAGAGGGTAAGAGTGGTTTTATTTTTTTAGATTTTTATTCAGTAATTTAATATATATATATTTATATTTAATATATATATTTGAAAAGCAGTAAGTCAGAGACAGAGTGGAGAGGGAACCACACACACACACACACACACACACACAGATGGAGATTGGGGCAGGGTGGGAGAGAGAGCTAGCAAGAGTGAGTGAGCGAGTGCCAGCACTCCCATCCAACGGTTCACTTCCAAAATGCCCCCAGCGACTGGGGAGCTGAATCTGGGAGTCAGAAATTCAATCCAGGTCTCCCACATGGGTGAAAGGGACTCACGTACTTGAGCTATCACCTGCTGTCTCTCAGGGTGCCTATTAGTACACAGGTGGAATTGAGAATAGAACCTATTTGGACCCAGGCATTTCAATATGGGATGTGGGTAAGCCACATACCCACACCTAAGGGTGGTTTTGGAGTCACAGGTTTTGTTTTTGTTTTTTGACCTTTTAGGACCTATTGTGTTACTATATTGGTTCACTAAAGAAATTTATGTACAAAAATTTATGCCTAAAATTTATGTGCAAGAGCATTTTGGATGAAAAAGAATTCTTTTTTATTTAGAAAGGCTGTTAATTGAATCATACAAGTTAGGAGATTTACAAGGTTCACACTTGGAAATCTATGAATATGTTAACATCAGCTACTCAAGCCGGTCACTCCACTCATGGATCTGGGGCCCAGAAACCTTTTCTGCAACTCTAGACTGTGTTAAATCATATTAATCCACAGCCTCACAGCACCCAAAGAAGGAAGCTGGATGGCTCAGTGCCTCTGGTGTAAAACCTCAACAGCAGTTGACAGCATTGCTGTGGTAGCACAGAGAAGACCAGTGTCAGTTAAATTGTGTTTGATAGGTGGTTATTATGCTGGGGCAATTGTCATGCATTTTAGGAGGGGTTACTGTAAAATAATTAAAATGGAGAAAGTCTGGGTTACTTAGAGTGATGTATTTTGGAAAATGCCCCCCAGTGCCCACCATTGGAGCCATGAGACATTAGTGTATATTAAGGATGACAAAGAAACTCCTAGTTTTTTTTTTTTTTTTGACAGGCAGAGTGGACAGTGAGAGAGAGAGACAGAGAGAAAGGTCTTCCTTTGCCGTTGGTTCACCCTCCAATGGCCGCCGCGGCCAGCGCGCTGTGGCCGGCGCACCGCGCTGATCTGATGGCAGGAGCCAGGAGCCAGGTGCTTTTCCTGGTCTCCCATGGGGTGCAGGGCCCAAGCACCTGGGCCATCCTCCACTGCACTCCCTGGCCACAGCAGAGGGCTGGCCTGGAAGAGGGGTAACCGGGACAGAATCCAGCGCCCCGACCGGGACTAGAACCCGGTGTGCCGGCGCCGCTAGGCGGAGGATTAGCCTAGTGAGCCGTGGCGCCGGCCTTCCTAGTTTTTTATGACATGGCTACATTAGTGGTCTGTCTGCACAGGATGGGATCTGTCTACAGCTGTGCTGGACTGCACATCATTGGTATTTATTGTGTCAGCTTGTTAGGAAACCAGGGACTTGAGTTGTTGAACTGCTGTGCTCATTGATTCCCATAGCTCTATGTGATGGGGGAGTGGTGGTTTCTTCTGCCTAGTGAGTAACACTTGGTATGTTATGTTCTCTACCCTTTTAATGTATTGACATTGGAATCATTGAATTTGTGCAATGACTTGTAGTCACCTGTTTCTGCTCTGTAGCATCCATTCACTTATTCATTCTTGTATTGATAACCATAGTCCTTGGGAGAAGAATCACCTTGTTTAGACTAAGAAACCCAGGACCTGGACCCTGTCATTAATT